GCAAGGAATTTGTCCTGAGTTGTAACATGGACTGGATTTGCGTACACAGGTGAGGTAAAAACATGCAGTAACATGGCTAGGAAAGAATTGGGCCGTAACGTGACTCCTTGGCATAGAGACCTGCCTGCGTAAATGCCATTTCAAGCATGATAGATGGTGGTGATAGGAAGCTCTAATTGTAATGCATAATGCTGCTGTTCGCAAACTCCACAGACCACTGCAATTCCTCAGCATTTTGCCTGAACCACTGTGCCCTCCTGTTATGTCTTACTGGCCACCCGGAGCTGTCCCTGACTGCCAAACACCTCTGGGGTGGGTTGAGGGAAATCCAGAGTTGGTCTCTTGTAGCCCTGCCTTAGGAGTGTTGCAGGACCAATGGCTGAGCTATGGCATGAGCTAGGACCTCGGAGTGAGGTCCTCTTCCACCGCCCACGTGCAAGCGTCTATGTCGGGTTCACAACTGCCTTGCCCTGGCACAGCCTCAGAGTCCAGCACTCAGGTCCTTTGACTCCTCTCCAGTGCCGGGAAGAAAGACAATTTGTCACAACTTCTCTGAAAAACGGCACAACCGTGTGATACAGAACAGCTTGTTCAACCACAAGCCATGTGGCTATTTCATTTTGTGGCGGGTCTTGGGGGACCTATTTTATCACCAGCTGCACGGGGCTGAACAGTTTCCTATTGTTGATGAAGGAAATAAAGTCAGCAGCGGCCGGCAGGTTTTCCCGAAGACCTTGGCCGAAGCTCTTCCCCTTCGCCAGCTCTCCGCTGATTGCATTGTTCTGCCAGGCCCCACCGAGGCTCCTCTGTTGTCCTCTCCATGCTCTCAGTCTACCTGAGCTGACTGTGCACACGGGCAAGCCTTGCCAAGATGAACATGCAACTGAGATCCTTAAAGCCACATTAACATGTCACATTCAGACATTATTCAGGGAAGGAATTCAGGGAAGGAATGTGGGGAAAGAATTGAGCAAGAAAGCTGGCAGAATGGGGGATGGGGGGCGACCCCTTCCAAGGATTTTAATCTGCCAAAAGATCTCATTAGATTAGAATATGCAAGCTCACTTTCAAAGAAAATGAACATCAAGACGAAGCTAACAACCAGCTGTCTCCTTTTTAAGAGTTAAATGCATTAGCTCCAGAGGCAGAAAAGAAAGAAAAAAAAATAGGCTTATGAGCCGTGTGTCTTAAAACAAGTGAAATCTACACCCACTGGTATAACACTGCAAAGCTTCCACTTCATTTGCATCACCAGGGCAGGTCTGCTCACTAAAGGGAAATATCCCTCTATTTGCCAGTTAAAAACACAGGCTTTGCTGCCTGCTGTTGACAGACCTAGTCCTGCCCTTCCGGGAGTTAGCAGCACTTTCTCTCCAGCCCAGCCCAGCCCAGGCTTTGCTGCTGGGGGTAACTGACTGAGAGCCAATGCAGCATGCTGAAAAACAGACAGGTAGATTATCTTGGATTTGGGATGTGGAGAAGAGGAGGGAAGAAACACAATGACATATTGTTCACAGAGATCTCTCAAGGAAGAGAAATGGGAAGAAACTTGTTGAACCAATGCATCAAAAGATAAAAGTTAGCCTTCAGATAGCAGTGTTTTCTAATGTGCCTAAGAGAATTAACTATCGAGATGACCTTCCCAGGGAACTGGACACCCAGTTCCTTGAGGGTGTGTTGACACCGAAAGGGGTTTTCCAGCATATATATATTGCTAAAGCCATAACAAAAACATTCTAGTAATGAGATGCCGTTCATACCAGCAAAGGAGCTATTTTCTCAGTTTCCTAAATAAACTAAGCTGTACAAGGAAGAGATTTTTTTCTTTTTTTGCAAGCATAACTGAAATTATGCTAAGACGAGAAGTGATATGATTTTGATATATATTTTTCTCTCCTGTTCTCCTAATATAGCCAGGCAAGCCAGCAAAAATTTCCAATGCAGATTAATCCATATGCACATTATCAGTATCACCATTACACTTTTGCAGGTCACTAAGGGGAAAACAAACCCAGAGAAAAGTATTCACTTCTGTATCAGAAGTCACACGACTACTGAAGAGCCAACAGTGCTATGGGTTACAGGCCAGCCAAATTTGGTTCTCTCTGATTTTTCTTGATAAGCTGCTGAAGCTATCAATGACACTTCCAAAGAAATAAAGATTGAATGTCATCTGCATTTAGCAGCAAAGCGCCAACAGTTTTAATGGATTATTTCGAAAGAAATCAAATCAGTTTCAGAGAGCCCTGCACTGATGCAG